ATCCCGAGGGCTTTTTTAAACCAGGGTCTAGGTGGAGTTCCCCTCTCTGGTCTGGTCCACTTCCTCTGAGAACTCATCCACGAACAGGTTTCAAAACCAACCAGACCACGTTGGCGATGGATCAACAGAAGTATCGTAACGCTGGAGTCCAGGAAAAGCTGGAAATCGTTGGAGTGGAGGATGAGGCCGGGAACCCCATCAGCGCCCTCACCATCCTGTCCCTGCTGGAACGGGTGGCAGGAATCATCGACAACGTCCAGTCGGGGCAGCAGCGCATGGAGGAGCGTCAGCTGGAGCTGGAGAACAGCATCAAGAACGTCCAGGGCGACGTCCTGAAGCTGGCCAAGGACCACAGTGACACCAGTGGGACGGTGGAGAAACTGCTTCAGAAGACGCGGAAGGTCAGCGCTAACGTGAAGGAGGTCCGGACCAGAGTGGAGAAACAAAACGTACGGGTGAAGAAGGTGGAGTCCACGCAGGACGAGCTGCTGACCCGCAACAAGTTCAGGGTCATCATCTACCAGGTGAGTAGGAGTTTAGGTCAGTGTTCAAGGCCAAGTTCAAGGAAAGCACAAGGCCTGAGTGGTACTTGCTGTCAAACACTTCTTAAATTTACCGAAAGTTTAGAACCTCCTCTTAAATTAATAAATTTACCGAAAGTTTAGAACCTCCTGCTTTAAGTCACAAAATAACACATGGATGAGGAATGAGGTTTGGTCTGAACTAAAATCTCTGATTTTATCCATGGGGTTTGGTCTGAACTAAAATCTCTGATTTTCTCCATGGGGTTTGGTCTGAACTAAAATCTCTGATTTTATCCATGGGGTTTGGTCTGAACTAAAATCTCTGATTTTATCCATGGGGTTTGGTCTGAACTAAAATCTCTGCTTTTCTCCATGGGGTTTGGTGTGGGGGAGTTAGCAGCCTCGGTTCAAGGCTCGTCTTTGCTGTTGCCATAGCAGTTAGCGTGCTAACACGAGCCTCTAGTCATCAGAAAATAACTGCAGAGTTATGAACTACCGGCAGCTGCTGCAGTACGGTGGCAGAGAGAGCTATTCTGGGAGCACAGCATTCTCTCTCTCTCTGTCTCTTGTGGTCTGACCCGGCTCCAGGACCGTGAAGTGGTCTTTGGGGGACTCTGTACAGCTGCTCTTAATCCCCGACTTCTACAGACTCTATCTCTCAGTTCGTGAATAAATCCTGACGTCAAACTTATGTATCGATGTCAATACTGCCCCCTACTGAGTATATTCTTTATTTACTGAGGTGGAGTCAGAGATAAACAGTACTACAAACTTCCAGAGGAGATTACTACGATACTGCGTTTGTTTTCTTTTTTCTTTACGTACTTTTCCTTTAATTCTGTTCCGTCTTGCTCAAAGATCAAAGATGCTAGCTGGCTAGGAACCTTCGTTGTAACTTGTTAACTTGTTAGCTGTGATCAGGACGTCCTCTAGAAAGAAATAGGCACCAGTATAAAATACAACCAGTAGTTGGCAGTAATCAAACCAGAGAAGAAGGCTAGGAATAAATGCTTTGAGTTAGCGGACGTCTAGCTAAGTCTGAATAAAGGAGTTCTAACAGTGAAGTCATTAAAAAAAAACAAAAAAAAAAACTTCATGGATGAAACGGTGGATCAGGAGCCTCTGAGTCTCTGAGCTAAAATCACTCATATTTTCTATGGGGTTTGGTGTGGGTGAGTTAGCAGTTGAGGCACGAGCTAACGTGAACAGATAAAGACAGCTCATTGGTCAGACTTTGGTCCACATTTGTAAAACACACATTTACCGGTAAAAACTGGAGCTGGACTTGGTCAGGACGGACACTGGAGACGGACGGAGGAGCGGCCGACTCCGGTTACCGCCGTCGTTGGCTCTGGCAGCAGCTTCCTGCCTGGACCAGTCTCACTTTCTGTTTCGTAAAAATAGTAAAAACTTGATATTACGAAGGCGAGTGCCAACATCTCAGAGGAATATCAGGTTCTCCGTGTCCTGGTGGAGGAAACATGGGAGCAGCTGCAGATCAGTTTCATCATCGTCACTTCAGGAGCAGGAGGAGAAACAAAGTCAGGAACTGAACTGAACTGAACTGAACTGAGATGAACCAAACTGAACTGAACTGAACTGAACTGAGCCGAACTGAACTGAACTGAACTGAACTGGACTAAACTGAACTGAACTGAACTGAACTGGACTGAACTGAACTGGACTGAACTGAACTGAACTGAACCAAACTGAACTGAACTGAACTGAACTGAACCAAACTGAACTGAACTGAACTGAACCAAACTGAACTGAACTGAACTGAACTGAACCGAACCGAACCGAACTGAACTGAACTGAGCTGAACTGAACTGAACTGAACCAAACTGAACTGAACTGAACTGAACCGAACTGAACTGAACCGAACTGAACTGAACTGAACTGAGGGTTTAGTCTGAAATGAAATCAAGCTAGCTAACAGTCGTCAAAGGCTAAAGGTTCACGTCATGAATTATAATCCACACAACCTGTCTCCGTGTCTGTAGGGGGAGACAGAGATCCCGTCTGTCGCTGTGACCAAGTCTCCCAAAGGCGTTGGTCTGGAGGGGGTGGAGATCGAGCCGGACTCCTACGACCTCCCCGCCGACCTCTCCTCCGACGAGGAGTACTTGAGCGTGGAGGAGACCGAGTCCTCACGAGGCGCTCGCCTCAAGAAGTCCATGGTGAAGAGCGGGGAGACGCTGAAGGCTACCTTCTCCAAGGAGAACATGAGCAAGACCAAGGACAACATCAGCAACAAGTTCCACAACCTCGGCGAGAAGGTCATGCCCCCAGAGCGCCGCGAGAGGATGCAGCAGGCCGGCGAGCGGCTGAAGGAGAACATCGCCAAGAAGGCTCCCAACAAGGAGACGTTCCGCATCAAGCTGAAGAAGGAGAGGGCTGTGGCCGAGGGCCAGGAGGGCGCCGAGGTCGAGGCCGAGGTCGAGGCCCAGGTCGAGGCCCAGCCTCACATCCAGGTCCAGGCAAAGGCCGAAGAACCACAGGGAGTGGCCTACACCGAAGTGGGCCAGGAGGAGAACCGGGCCACCAGGATAGGATAGGATGGTGAGAGGAGGTGACACTTGTTCATGATTGGTCCAGAACAAAGAGGGCGTTTGAGGATGTGTCAAGAAAAGAGAAAGTGACGGAGAAACTTTGTTTTGTTTGTTTCTAATTAAACAAAAATAATAAAACGCAAAAAGTGAAGAAGGTCCACGTCGGGATGAAAAACAGGTCCAGTCCAAATCAGCACAGACACACACACAGCTTCTGGTCTGGTGATTCAGCTGTGGGATGGTGGCCTTCACATCTTCACCAGGTGCCACTGTTGGACCGACAGTGTCTGGGCTCCAGTCTGCCCCCTAGTGACACAGCTGATTTCCACAGACCTTGTAGTTTTAACAATATTTTTCCTCCTTCACCAAAACTCACAGAGAAAACCAGTCAAACCAGCAGTCGTTGATCCACTGATCAACTCAGGTCACAACTGACCACCGGAGGCAGCGGTCTCTCCCTGGTTTTCTCCGTAGACTCTGGTGGAGGAGTGTTTGGAACCCACAGCTTCCTGTAACGGTGACCGTGAACAGATCGATCGGACACGGAAGACAAACTCTTTCCTTCTCTGAACAAACAGAAGTTTAAGTAAAAAAGTGATTTTCACCACATGACATCACCACATGACATCACCACATGACATCACCACATGACATCACCACAGAAACGGCTGAAGCGCTCCGTCTGAGAGGTCAAAGGTCAAGGCTTTAGAACTTCAGGTTCATTTTAGCTTCTGATTATTGAACAGGAGCTACATGCTAACAGTCCACTCCACACATTAACACCATTTTGAGCTCGATGTACAGTATGTAGACAGCTAAGTGTTAGCAATAGCTAATGACATATATCTAGTTAATCAGTTTGTTATGAGGAACTGAAAAACAGACGCCCGGTGACCACGGCTATGATGAGATGAAATGAGGGGGCGGAGCCTCAGCTGGACTCTGAGGAGTCGAACATCAGACCGGTTTCTGAACAAAAACAAAAACACACACAGTTAACGTACGATTTTCTTCACAGGTCACCTGGTCTGCTAATGAGGCGTTAAAGAAAATTTAGCTGAAAGTAGCCCTGCTGTTAGCCTAACCCTTTATTTGCACTGCTGCTTCGTAGAAAATAAAAGTTTGTTTTTTAACATTTTTTGCTGCTTGAGTTTTTCTGCTTCCTTTAATTAGCATAGATTAGCATAGTTAGCAGCGCTAAATGATGAATGTAGTTGTGTGTGAGTTATAAAACAATCTTATATTCTGACGTCAGGAGAGACTCTTATTCTGACATCTGTCCTGCGTTGACGACTTCCTGTATTTGTGTTTTGTTTTGTGTTGCTGCTGAAAAATATAATATAAATAAGAAAACTGAGAATCGTGTCGGGGCTGATCTGAGCGGCGTTGCTAACTTGCTAACTGACGAATTCGGTAAAGCAAGCTAACGTTTTAAAAATTGAAATCAAACTACTGCTACAGTTGTTAGCATATTTTCAAGCGCATGCTAACTGGACAAAAGGTTATCAAAGTTCTTGCCATCCTAAAATGGAGTGGAAACTCACCTCCAGGGTGCGCTGTGGTTAGCCTCAGTGTTTGACTGAAATACTATGATCATAAACGTAGACATTTCAAAGTTTATTCGTTTTGTTGTTTGTCTTTCACTTTTCATCAGCTGAATGAAGACGTTTTGGTCTGTTTTTGTACAAATAAAGTTTCCTAAAACCAGCGCAGCCGGTGGTTCAGATGTTTTAGATCATCACCTGGACATGCTGTGTGTTTCTAAGACTTGTCTGTCTGTGACAACAACAATCATAACATTAATAATAACCAATGATTGTCATTGGTCATTGAATGTGTCTTTGAAACATTTTAAACAACCTAAAATACTGTTTGTGTTGATAGTATTCTTTTCCATTTCCATTCATGTGATCGTGTTATAAAAGAACATCCCACTGTGTTTAGCTCAGCTAAGAGCAACGTTAGCATCAGTGCTTCCTACGTGTTGTGAAAGCAGCTAATTCTTTGATAATTAGCTGAACATGTTCATCCACGGGTCAATGTTGCGTGTAACGGTCTCCAGCAACAAACCCGGAAGTACGACAAACCTGCGTTGGGCTTGAGCCAAGTGGGCTTCCGTAGGGATGAAAAGAACGAGGCGCTCTTATTTTGGTAAGGCTTAAAGGAAGTAGGAGTTATAGCAGTGCTAACGTGTTTGCTAACAGCCTCTCTGTAAAGACTTTCATTCTTTCATTGTTGTCCGCTGTGAACCCTAACGGTGTGTAGTTAATGAATGAAAAAAAACAAAAAAACAAAGACCAATCATTTAATAACACGATGATGACATTCAAACCACTCTTATCAGGCAGTTTGTCAACCTCTCAAACAGTTAGCTGTAGCTGTTAGCGGTCGGTTGCCTGACAACGGGTCGAGAAGCTAAACAAAGCTACCAGGAGCTAACGCCGAGACACCGAGGTTTTCTCTTGTTTTATCTGATGGTGATGGCGGATGATGGGCGCCGCCTGGAGGACGATGACCGCGGGCCGGGAGCCGCTCAGCAGGTGTTCGTGTTGATGGAGGGTTTACTGGAGAAACTGAAGGTGTTGAACTACGAGGAGGAAGTTCTGAGCAAACACAACATGAAGAGCCTGTCCAGGTGAGTCTGTCGGTCTTTACAGACCTCAGTCGGTCTACATCTGTGACCAGTCTGAACCTGAAGGGACGTTAAAGTCAGTGTTAAAGTCCATTAACAACATCCTTGTGAAATTCATTTATTAACATTTTAACATGTTTTTTTTTCCTGCTGTGACAGTTCACGTCACAAACATGAAACGAAAAAAAACCCATGGAGGAATCCAGTTCCTCTGTCCTCACCTCCATCTTTTTCTTCTTCCTTCACCAGACATTATTTTGTCTCCAGTCCATATCTGGGCTCCAACCCCGGTGAACAGTTCTACATGTTTACCATCATCGCAGCCTGGCTCATCAACGCAGCAGGTCGGCCGTTCACCGAGCCGCAGGAGTACGACGAACCCAACGCCACCGTGTCCAACATCCTGTCAGAGCTGAGAGCTTTTGTAAGTGACCAAGTGAACCAGAGTCCATGGAGAAAATCAGAGATTTTAGTTCAGACCAGAGTCCATGGAGAAAATCAGAGATTTTAGTTCAGACCAGAGTCCATGGAGAAAATCAGAGATTTTAGTTCAGACCAGAGTCCATGGAGAAAATCAGAGATTTTAGTTCAGACCAAAGTCCATGGAGAAAATCAGAGATTTTAGTTCAGACCAGAGTCCATGGAGAAAATCAGAGATTTTAGTTCAGACCAAACCTCATGGAGAAAATCAGAGATTTTAGTTCAGACCAGAGTCCATGGAGAAAATCAGAGATTTTAGTTCAGACCAAACCTCATGGAGAAAATCAGAGATTTTAGTTCAGACCAGAGTCCATGGAGAAAATCAGAGATTTTAGTTCAGACCAAACCTCGTGGAGAAAATCAGAGATTTTAGTTCAGACCAGAGTCCATGGAGAAAATCAGAGATTTTAGTTCAGACCAAAGTTTATAGAGAAAATCTGTTTCCTGATAACGTGAGTCTGTCTCTCTGTCTGTCTTTCTGTCTTTCTGTCTCTCTGTCTCTGTCTGTCTTTCTGTCTGTCTGTCTGTCTGTGTCACAGGCTCCATAGGTAGAGTTCCCTCCCTCCAAACTTAAATCTGGCTCAGGTGAGTTCGTGTGCCTGGTTCTGGATCGTCTGGCAGAGGAAGCTGTGAGGAGGCGTGGCTTCAGTTTCAAAAGGTAATGCAGATTCTCAGCCCTTTATAACCAGCTCCATTACTCCATTACTCCATTACTCCATTACTCCATTACGTACTCGTATTTACTGAATCAGAAATTGTTGTCATTACATCAAACCCTGGATGAGATAAATCAAATGAAACCATAAACCCAGATGAGGTGTAATTCTGCTGACTGGTCAACAGGTGGAGCCCAGTCCCATGTTGACCTTATTCCCCCCTCAGCCTGGCTGGTCTTCATGACTCTGTTTCTGACCCAGCGGACCACAATGCACCTGTGCTTCTCTTTGTTTTTTTTCAGGCCGGTCTACCCGGCTGAAACCACAGAGGAAGAGTCGGTTCTGGAGGACGACGCCGAGCTCACACTCAGCAAAGTGGAAGAGGAGATGATGGTACGGTCCAGTTAGCATGAAGCTAATGAAATAACTCTGAACAGAAAACATCAACGTCTCTGAAGTCTCTCCTCAGTCATTGATCAGTTCTTGATTTGATTCCCTCCTGATGCGTATTGTTATCTAGTTCCTGTGACTGTTTCAGGAGGAGCCTGAGGAGGAGGAGGAGGAGGAGAACGTGATGGACCTGGAGTCTCTGAAGTTACGCACCAGTGGAGTTGTAAGTGGAGTCCAGCTCCACCTCCTGCTCCGTCTGCAGTGGCCACTGACGTCACGTTCTCTTACAGGACGTGGAACCCTCGTCCAGACCTGAGGACATCCTGGAGGCCACGGTGGACTCTGGAGAGTGGAACCTGGAGGTGGAGCGAGTCCTGCCTCAGCTGAAGGTCACTGTCAGGATGGACAACAAGGTACCGTCTGCTGCAGGGTCCAGGTCCTGGTCCAGGTCCTGGTCCTGGTCCAGGTCCGGTCCTGGGTTTGTGCTTTTATTGTGAAGGCAGAGCTGAACGGCCATGTTGATGTGGGTCTGCAGGACTGGAGGATCCATGTGGACCAGATGCACCAGCACAGAGAGGGGATCAGGTCTTCACTGAGAGAGGCCAAGGTGAGGTCACGGAGGTCAGAGGTCAGTGAGGTCAGACCATCACTGTCACCTGTTCCAGCTCAGCTCTGAGCTCCTTGTTGTAGAACTGTCTGGTTCTATGTTCTCCTCCCTGTGCTCCTCCTCCCTGTGCTCCTCTCTGAGCTCCTCTCTGAGCTCCTCCTCTCTGAGCTCCTCCTCTCTGAGCTCCTCTCTGAGCTCCTCCTCTCTGTGCTCCTCTCTGTGCTCCTCCTCTCTGAGCTCCTCTCTGAGCTCCTCTCTGAGCTCCTCCTCTCTGTGCTCCTCTCTGTGCTCCTCCTCTCTGTGCTCCTCCTCTCTGTGCTCCTCCTCTCTGTGCTCCTCCTCTCTGTGCTCCTCCTCTCTGAGCTCCTCCTCTCTGAGCTCCTCCTCTCTGTGCTCCTCTCTGTGCTCCTCCTCTCTGTGCTCCTCCTCTCTGAGCTCCTCCTCTCTGAGCTCCTCTCTGTGCTCCTCCTCTCTGTGCTCCTCCTCTCTGTGCTCCTCCTCAGGGCCTCCTGGACAAACTGCAGGAGGACATCAGTAAGAGTCTGGAGAAGGTGGGCAGCAGAGAGAAGTACATCAACAACCAGCTGGAGCAGCTGATCCAGGAGTACCGTGGAGCTCAGGCCAAACTCAGCCAGGTGTCAGGGCGGGGGTCACGGGGGGGGGCTTTTGACATGTAGACCTCTTCATCTCTGACCACCTTGTTTTCTCCTGCAGGTGAAGGAGTGTTACCACCAGGCCAGTGGAGGAGTAACTGAGAGAACCAGAGTGTTGGCCGAGGTCAGTGAAGGCACCACGGGTGTCGGCCAGGCCTGTAGGGACCAGTGTGGACCAGTGTGGACCAGTGTGAGCCCGGTCCACGTGAACTGATCCTGGGTCTGTGTTTCAGGTCAGTGAGGAGCTGGAGAAGGTGAAGCAGGAGATGGAGGAGAAAGGGAGCAGCATGTCAGACGGAGGTCAGAGGTCACTGCACTGTAGTCAGGTCAGGTTGGCGGGCGGGGACGCTGACCCCCTCTGTGTGTGTGTGTGTGTGTGTGTGTGTCCAGCTCCGGTGGTGAGGATCAAGCAGAGTCTGACGAAGCTGAAGCAGGAGTTGGTCCAGATGGACGTGAGGACGGGCGTGGTCCAGCACACGCTGCTCCAGGCCAAGCTCAGAGAGAAGTCCAACATGACCAGAGACATGCACGCCACTAACATCCCCGAGCCGGCCGCCCTCACCGCCACCAACAGCCCCGGGCCCTTCATGTAGACCTGAGGTGGGGGGGGGTTAAAAACACAAAGTTAAATTTAAAGTTTAAGGTTTAAAATAAATATCTATTTATTCTTTGTATGTGAATAAAATCCGTTTTTTATACCAGAAGAAAAATCCACGTTAATTTGTTTGATCTATTCAACCGTGTCATTACAATGAGCGGCCACCAGGTGTCAGCCGGTGGAAGAAGTGTCACCACCGGAAGTGCCGCTTTGAGCTGGAGAGGAGCAGGTGAAGGTAATGACGTTTGAAATGTTGCTTCAAATGTTTGAGGAACTTCTTCGACAATTGTTCCAATATATATATATAAATTTAAATAAATATTTATATTTATTTAAACTACGGTCGTTCACGGGGCGGGAATTTACCGGAAACACCGAGTTTAAAGGAGTAAAATGACACGAAGGGACATCGATCTCTGTGATCAGACTGACGTCGTTTTAAACACAGGGGGGTTTATGACTGTGTGTGTGTGTGTCTGTGTGTGTGTGTCTGTGTGTGTGTGTGTGTCTGTGTGTGTGTGTGTTTATGGTTTTATAACCGGTGACAGTTAATGTTTGCACATCATCAGCTCCAAAGTCTGTTCCTCTGTTCCTCTGTTCCTCTCTCTCTCACTCCTCTCTCTCTCACTCCTCTCTCTCTCACTCCTCTTCTGAACCAAGCTGAACTTAACGGAACAGATCAGTAAAAACACAAGTGTTTTTTTATATAATAATCACAGACCAAGGATTAAACACAGAGTCTGCAGTGAAACAACTCCGACAAACCACAACAGAACAGGATCTCAGTCAATAATTGGAAGTAACTTTTTACTGAAACTGTGAATGATTGATTTAGAGCTGCTGCTCCACTGCTGCCCCCTGTCGTCAGTTTCTGTCGATATGAGCAAAGGATTTCAAACAGTTCCGTCAGAAAAGAACACATTAGAACTCAGTGACTGAGGCAGCAGTGGATCAACAACTGCTGAGAAAATCACTGACTTTGGTCTGAACTAAAATCTCTGATTTTCTCCATGAGGTTTGGTGGGGGGGTCATTATCAGCTAACTGCTGTGCTCCAGGTCATGTTGAGCCTAATTCTAACTAGTTCCTTGATCTAGGTCGTGCTAAGCTAATGCTAATAATGTGGCTGATGGTGGAGGCGACGATGCGTCACTGCAGTAAAGTTTTTTTTTTTATCTCAGTTTCACTGTAATTAAAAGTTGAGCTTTTGACACAACTTCCTGTTTCACTGCTAACAGGAAGTTCTCTGTCTGTGTGGACACCACGACCACGGAGGGCAGAGGTCACCGATCACATGTCACACAGTATTTTGGTAGGAAGTCTTCAGTCCTGACGTTGTCATGGCAACACGAGTGCTCATGATGAAGTTATTATGGGGTGGATTTGTTGAGGCGGGGTGCCCCCGGAGGCCGAGGTGAGAAGTCTTTTATGTTTTTACTGAAAGCTGTACAAAGACTTAAGACAGTCCAGCTCTAATAACATCGGGGTTTTTGTTTTTTTTTCTGTTTTCCTCCAAAGTAACAAATGTGCCTGGCCCTGCTACTGGTCCACAACCCGGGGCTTGGGGACATCTGGTGCAGAGGACAGTAAACAGAAGTCAAACAGTGGACCGAGGACGAAGCAGGAAGTGTTGGCCGTCCGTCCTGGACACACGGACAGACTCGTGAGAAGGATTCTGGGTAAACAGAGGTGTGTCACCGTATCAGGTGTGGGCGAAGGAGGAGAGGGAGGGGCTGCTGGGGTTTATGGTCCAGGTCAGGGTCTAAAGTCCTGCTCAGAGACCTGGCTTCAGATCCTTTGTCCTCAGTTCAGACTCTCCTCTGCTCGTGTCTTTAGTCTTCAGGTTCTGGTCCATCATGTCCACCATAGTTCAGGCCACCGGGCTGCTCATGGGAATCGTGGGCTGGCTGGTGACCGGAGTGGCGCTGGCCAACGACTACTGGAAGATCTCCGCCGTGACCGGCAGCGTCATCATCTCCCAGAGGCAGTTTGAAAACCTCTGGCACTCCTGCGCCGAAAACAGCGCGGGAATCGCAGAGTGTCGGGACTTTGAGACTCTGCTGGGTCTTCCAGGTAAGACCAGGACCAGGACCTGGACCAGGACCTGGACCAGGACCAGGTCCACTTCTACCGTAGTGTTCCCGTGGTCCACAGGAAGTTTGATTAGACAACGTGTTTGACTCTTAGCTAACACTTCCAGTTATTCTAAATTCATATCTGCATTTCTCTGGTGTACTGTTAGCCTCGTACTGTTAGCCTCGTAGTGTTAGCCTCGTACTGTTAGCCTCGTAGTGTTAGCCTCGTACTGTTAGCCTCGTACTGTTAGCCTCGTACTGTTAGCCTCGTAGTGTTAGCCTCGTACTGTTAGCCTCGTAGTGTTAGCCTCGTACTGTTAGCCTCGTACTGTTAGCCTCGTACTGTTAGCCTCGTACTGTTAGCCTCGTAGTGTTAGCCTCGTACTGTTAGCCTCGTACTGTTAGCCTCGTACTGTTAGCCTCGTACTGTTAGCCTCGTAGTGTTAGCCTCGTACTGTTAGCCTCGTAGTGTTAGCCTCGTACTGTTAGCCTCGTACTGTTAGCCTCGTAGTGTTAGCCTCGTACTGTTAGCCTCGTAGTGTTAGCCTCGTACTGTTAGCCTCGTAGTGTTAGCCTCGTACTGTTAGCCTCGTAGTGTTAGCCTCGTACTGTTAGCCTCGTACTGTTAGCCTCGTACTGTTAGCCTCATTTTTCCACATTCGTCCACATGTACTTGTTCACATACATTAACAGTCGTTATCGTTGTTACTTTTACGTTTAATCTTAGCTGTTATGTTTATTTTAGTCCTGTTTATCCTTGGTTAGCTTCTAGTAGGTTGCTGAGCTAGTTGTTTGGCTAACATTTAGCAGACTTCTTAACGCTTCTGAAAACGCTGGCCTGTACTTCTCATGAGGCTAACCTTGGAGTAGGGATTAGCTCGTTTTCAGTCGTTAAGTTCTTAGCTAACTTGTTGATTGTAATGTTAGCTAACATTTATCTTTGAACAGAAACTACACTTGTTCATCGCAGCGTTCACTTAGCTGTTTCTCGGCTAACCGCTAGCCTTTAACCCATCGGCTCTACTGGAAAGGAGTTTGTGTTCATTTCTGAGTAAAGACTGACGGGACGACGTCTTCCCGTCCTGTGACCCCGCTGACCTCTGTCTCTGTGTCCAGTCCACGTCCAGGCCTGTCGAGCCCTGATGATCATGGCTCTGCTGCTGGGTCTCGGGGCTATGGTCGTGTCTCTGCTCGGCGTCAAGTGCATCAGGATCGGGTCGACCACGGACCAGACCAAGGCCCGGATGGCGGTGACTGGAGGAGTCCTGAACATCCTGTCTGGTCAGTGGACCGCTCCTCTGGCTCTTTGCTGTTTTGGACCAGGTTCACGTGTGTACTGACGTTGTGCTCTGTGCTGCCCCCTGCAGGTCTGCTCTGTCTGACGGCCTGTTCCTGGTACGCCTACAGGGTGGTGCAGGACTTCAACAACCCCTTCTACGTGGGCCTCAAGTGAGTCCACTGTGTGGTTTCCTGTGTCTCTCAGTTGTGTGTGTGTGGGTGTGGTTTCCTGTGTCTCTCAGTTATGTGTGTGTGTGTGTCTCCCCCTGGTGGTCTCACGCTGGTACTGGACGTGCGTGTCTTCACAGGTTTGAGCTGGGCACCGGTCTGTTCCTGGGATGGGGCGGGGCAAGTCTGTCCATCCTGGGCGGGGCTTTACTCTGCACCGCCTGCAGCGCCGCCTCAGGACAAAAGAAGAAGAGCGAGTGAGTGTTCACACACTCCATCATCGCACACCTGTGTGTGTGTGTGTGTGTGTGTGTGTTGAACTCTTTGTGTGTTTTTTTCAGGGCCTTGTATGGAAACCAACCAAAGAAGGTTTATACTGCCATCACCAGGTCTGAGCCGGAATCATCACGGGCCTACGTCTGAGGAACACACACACACACACACATAATCCTAGTGCTAAACTCTGCTGCCCCCGTGTGGTCATAAATGTCTAGGATTTTCTTTCATCGTTTTTTTAGAATTAAAACTTGAGTCAAAACTTGAGAAAAAGTTTTTCATCTTTTTATGTTTCCTGATTAAAGTTTGTTAAACTGAAACTGACGACAGCGTTTTCATTCACGGTACACGCAGTACTGCAGTACTGCAGTACTACAGTACTACACACTAAACTGTGTGTGTGTTAACGATGACTAATGCTGTGAACCTGCTGACAGAGAGAGGAGAGGATTAAAGCTGCAGCACACACACACACACACACACACACACACACACACACACACACAGGTGTCTTCTTTTTCTGGGGACAGACCGTTGACCAATCAGACGCAGCCTGTTGTTTGTCATTGGTACGTCTTTACCCCCCCCCCCCCCCCCCCCCACTGGCACGACTGTGGTATGACAGCGGTCAATCCTCTCAGAAATCCTCCTCCTGTCTGTCACTGCAGCGGAGCCTCCTGATTGGCTCCTGAAGTTGAGGGGGCGGCGACAGGTGGTGAAGATGATCTGCAGATCCTCAGTCTGAGCAGATCTTCATCTTCATCTTCATCTTCACCTGCAGCTCTAACAGGCTCAAATTAGCCTCCGACGACGGACAACAATTAGCTCGGAAGATCACCAAAAGTTAGAAAAACAAAGGTTTTTTTCATTTTCGTACTAAACTTTAAAAAGTTTCACTTCGTTTTAGTCGTCGTTCCAGGCTGCGCCTCCTGCTGGTCAGTAACAACATGAGCCCAAAAAACGTTGTTTTCAAAAAGATCTGCAAGGACAAGTCGGTGAGTGGGACCTGGTGTGTTTGATGGTACCGTTTGTTACCGAGCTTCAGTGGTCACAGCTACCCTTCTCTGCCAACAGGTGGCGGTGTACATGGGGAAGCGAGACTTTGTGGACCGTGTGGACTCGGTGGAACCTGTGGGTGAGTTCTGTTCTGAATTTCAAAGATAGTAAAATAATAACACGCTAAGAAACACTGCTGCTGGTCCACTGCTGCCCCCTGTGGCCAGGATGTGTACCTGCATTCAATCTGAGCAAAAGAGTTCAAACAGTGAAGTTGACGATGGATCAACTCCGACTGTGTCTGAACTAAAATCTCTGATTTAGATTTTTAGATTCTTTAAATTCAAGATTTTAGGATTTGTGTAAAAAAAGCTTTTTGTCATCTTTTGTCCACTAGATGGCATCATCCTCGTGGATCCTGGGGCTCTGCAGGGTAGAAAAGGTGATAAAAGTTTCTTTTTAAAACCTGTCAATCAAATATAGAACTTCTATAAATTCTATTCTATATTCTGTGATTTGTTGCCACTTTATTGAAAATATTTTCTCGACTCCTGACGTTTCGTCTTCCTTTGTTCCTTTGTTCTTTTATATGTTTTAAACTGCTTTTGAACCAATGAGTTGTTGAAGATTTTTTTTGGTGTTTTTTTTATTGTTTTTGATTCGTTTAAACGTCGTCTTCAGGTTCATCTGTAGCTATCACCTTGGCCTTTCGTTTGTCTGCCCTCTAGTGTTTGTCACCCTGTCTTGTACCTTTCGGTACGGCCGTGACGATGTTAACGTGCTAGGCATCGCATTCCGTCGAGAGCTGTACGTGTCCACGCGGCAGGTTTACCCCCCTCTACAGGACCGCGACAGAGGAATCCACTCCAGGACCCAGGCCCAGCTGCTGCGGAAACTAGGAGAGTGTGCTTTTCCTTTCTTTTTCGAGGTAAGAGTCGCCCCCTTGTGGTATTGTGCTAATTTCTAGGAAAAATATTACATTCTGTCTACAAAACTCTTTCAATCACAACAATTTCAGTTCAGACCAAAGTTTCTTTCTTTCCAGTTTCCTGACAATCTGCCTTGCTCAGTGGCGATGCAGCCAGCACCTCATGACGTCGACAAGGTAAACACCAGTGGTAACACGAACGTAGAGCGGCCGATGACGATGCTAAGATTCGCTCCGTGTCTGTCCGCAGCAATGTGCCGTGGAGTTTGAAATCCGAGCCTTCAGTGCTGAGAGCCCCGACGCTAAAGTCCACAAGCGGTGAGTCACAGACGGCAGGAACCAAAGAGTCTCAACAGTACCAGGACAGTCTGTAGTTCCTGGAACTGTTTCTTGTTCCTGTTGTTGTCTGGAACTGTAGTTCAAGGTCTGAGTTCTTGTAAAAAAACAAACCAAAGAGTTCCTCGTAAATTAGGATTAGTGAAAGTTGGTCAACTTAGTTGTTTAACTATGAGAAGATCGCTAACCGTTACAGACGAAAGGCAAAAGCTAGCAAAGTTAGCCAACAAAACAGCTAAACGTTAGCCTAGAAGTTAGCTCCAGTTTTGTTGAAATGATTGCTAAATATTTGGTAGTAAAATAACAATGGTGCATTTCTGCGTTTTGTCCACCAGGAGCAGCGTGACGCTCACAATCAGAAAGGTCCAGTTTGCTCCTGAAAGCGAGGGAGTGGCTCCCTCTGTTGAAACCACGAAGGATTTCGTCATGTCAGAAAAACCACTGCACGTCAAAGCCAGTCTGGACAAAGAGGTGATGTCACTTCCTGTACTCGCTGCTGTTACTGCAGCACACCGTTTGTAAGAACAATAAGAAAAGAAACAGTGACACCTAAAGGCAGAAGAAGTCAGAAACGTTTGTTACTGAGTCCAGACGTCAGTTAGCATCGGTGTTAACTGAAGTGTTAGCCCAAATATAGGTATTGTTTTGTTAAAGACGATGTTTGATACGATACGATGTTCATCTTCTCCGACCGTATGTTCAGGTTTACTACCATGGAGAACCAATCACGGTGCACGTCAGTGTCACCAACAGTTCCAGCAAGAACGTGAAGAACATCATTGTCTCTGGTAAACATCACTGACTTATCCAACAGTGACCCCTGCTGCTGAAACCCTGTAAAGCTTTCAGACTCGTTTTAGTTCAGACCAAAGTCCATGGAGAAAATCAGAGATTTTAACAAACCCAGACGAGATCTAAAAATATCAAGAACTCTGGTTCTGATCCAACTCCAGTTTGAACAGTTAGAACTTTGTGGTTATAAAATATGTCGTTACTCGTTTTGTTCAATAATTTATTTATTTTTTTTTTTTAAGACTTTTGTGGGGGCGACAGAGGCAGGCTCTGCTTTAGTGGTTTGTTATCAGCAGGGGGCGCTGACGGGTCAGAGGCTGAATCTTTAATAATGTTTCTTCTCCTCAGTGGATCAGATCACCAACGTGGTTCTGTACTGCAACGACAGCTACGTCAAATCAGTGGCCATAGAGGAGTATGGGTAATGACACACACACACACACACACACACACACACA